ACTCGGCCTGGGCAGCATGTGACACCGGCCAGGTGGGTGCCCGCCTCTCTTCTGCGCTCTGGGCTCGGGGCGGCCGCAGAGCTTGGCGGAGGTAAGGCTGGGAAGTGAAGGAAGAGGAAACTAGGCCTCCCCAGGGACCAGACCCGGCCAGGTCCCGGGGCCCAAGCTCCGGAAATAGGGGGCTGGGCCTATGGGCAGAGCTCCGGGAGAGGGCCGACTACCCGGCTGGGAAGAGGAGGGGACCGGGAGGAAGTGCTTTTGTCTGAAAAACTCTCTTCCAGCCAGGTCCCCGCCTTGGATGGGCACCGTGCCCCGGCAGTGTTCGCGGGGCCAATAATCGGGACTCTTTCTTCGAAGACTGGGCCCTGCGGAAAGCTAACCCCTATAATAAGGAGCAGCAGGGATTCCTTTTCCACACTGTTCCTTACCTAAGATGTGTTATTCTCTGGTTTTTCCTAGCCAGGCCTGGGCCTTTCTGCATTATCTGCATGACATTTGCATATGTGTATCTCTGTACCCACCTCTTCCCTGATAGCCGGAGCTCTTTAACCTGTAACCCTCGCTCTGCGCTGCCCCCCCCCCAGCCCCCGTGCTACTTAACTATATTTGGGACCTTCCCAAAGCTTGGTGTGTAAGCCTCTGAGCGGAGGGGGTTGGGAAGGGAGATGTTAGTGCTGGGGGCTATAGTGAGATGGTAGCACCTGGGTTGGAGCCCTGGCTCTCTGAGCATCAATTGTAAGTGCCCTCCAGCAGGAAGGGCCTGAAGAGCTAATCCGAGTGCACTTTGTGTTCACCTGCAAGTCCCCTTTCTCCCCTTCCTAGATCTTCCCGGGATAGACTTGTCCTCCTATCTACCTAGGAGTGAACTCTGACCTGACTTGTTGTGAGGTTGAGGGGGCACCTGGGTTGGAGCCCTGGCTCTCTGAGCATCAATTGTAAGTGCCCTCCAGCAGGAAGGGCCTGAAGAGCTAATCCGAGTGCACTTTGTGTTCACCTGCAAGTCCCCTTTCTCCCCTTCCTAGATCTTCCCGGGATAGACTTGTCCTCCTATCTACCTAGGAGTGAACTCTGACCTGACTTGTTGTGAGGTTGAGGGGCAGGGCGTGCCAGATAGAGGAGGGTGTGAGGACTGGTTTTGCTTTCAACTTCTTTCCTCCTTTGCTCTCCAAGTCCTTATATCCTTGACCCACTCCAGAAAGCCGGGCATCCAGCTACACAACCCCAGTGGGGCCTCTTCCTAGACTTCCTGTTGGAGCTACACCTGGAGCATGAGGAGGCTCTCAGCCCAGGCACTAGCAAAACGGGCATCGTCTGTTAACCAGTCTGTGGGCCTGAAGCCAAAGGGGCTCCTGTGGGTGGGAGCACAGTGTGTTAGTTCTATGTGAGAGTTCTGTGTGGTTCAGGGGGACTGAATGCCGTGGTCCTAGGAATGCCAAGGAGAGAGATGTCAGGAGGAATTTAAAGGAATCCTTTTCCAAAGAATACAGTGATTGCAGTTATGGTCTAGGGTGTCCGGCTTCTGTCACGTGGTCTGTCTGAAGCTGTCTGTGGCCACATTATGCACCATGTCTGTGGAATAGACAGGAAGACGTCATTCCTGGTGTCTGGAGTGGCCAGTCACGATGTGGTGTGGACGAGTTCAGGTATTTCATGGGATCATGTTGAATGAGAGCTGCATTACTTAAATATTGGTGGTGTAGACACAAAGAGGTGACCCACAGCACCTGGTGTAGACAGGGGCTGGGGCCTTCAGTGTGTAGAGTGAAAAGGAGCTGATCACTTACAGTGTCTGCAGGGTGAACCAGAACTAGGAGGTCAGCTACGTTAAGGACAAAAAATGTCACAGACATATTACCTGTGTGGATGGCACTAAGGCCACAAGGGGACTTGTGACAGAAGTCACATTGCCACTAATAATGGTGTTATTATATGAGGCTATTTGGCCTGTAAGGCAGTAGATAATGTGATATTTTCAAGCAAGGAACAGATTAAAAAAATGTTTATTACTGTATAGCATTTACTAGGTTGGTAGAGCTTCCCTACAGTAAGTAGAACACAGGTCTTAGCAATTGGTGGTTCAGGAAGCTACCCTTAGTTTGATACGTTTGTAGTAGTATTAGGAGAATCAATGTCAAAAAGTGAATAAATTTAGATACCTATACGGTGGTTTTATTTTCCAAGTCGAAATAGGAAAATATCTTTTTGATTAGGGTAAGAGGGTCTTTTCCTAGACAGAACTGTAGAAGATAAAGTGTAAATGGAGAAGTACTGCAATCTCAAGAGTATTTCAGTGATTTGTGTTTCTGAGTCAGAATATTTGAAATAGACATTGCTAGAAAATCCAGGAAGCATGGTCCTCAAAAATATACATAACAGGCTGGGGATTTAGCTCAGTGGCACCACACCTGCCTTGCAAGTAAGTACAAGGTCCTGAGTTTGATACCTGGTATGTGTGTGTTTGTGTGTGTGTGTGTGTGTGTGTGTTTGTGGCATTTGATATCACTTCAAAGGATAGCATGACAGGGGATAGGGGTATCTTTGAAATACAGTGTTGCCTCTGATGACCAAAAATGGGCACAAGCCAAGGTGCTGGGGTGCTGAGGGACTGTAAGGGAGAGCAAGTGCTGTCACATACTTTTATGGGCAGGCAAGCTTTGTCTCCTAAGAAGTCACGCGTGAATGGGGGCATGCATCTGGCCTTCCTGTGGTCTGGACATAGGTCAGATGACCATAGTGCCACACACTGTCTTTGCCTGTGCTCAGGCAGATAAATAATGGTGCTCAGCAGATAAATGCTGGTGATGATGGCAGTGAGCTGTTTGCATTCCAGTGTACTGGGCTTTGTGAGGGGCTGTGGGGCAGGTACTCCCTTAGGATGCTTTTATGTGAACAAGACCATATTTTTCAAACTTCCTTTAGCTTTAGTCACATTCTAGCTGTGTTGTGCCTGATAAGATCAAGGACTGGCACTTCTTTAGGGTACTTTCTCCCTTTTGAGTGAATGGTTACTAAGCACAGATATTTCCACCTGGATAAAGACATTGTTACAAATGGTGTTTAAGGGGTTACAGGAGACAGACTTGCATTGTATGACTGGATTGCAACTAAAATATCCTGGAAACACATGGTACATATAGATAACACTTAGGTATGACAGAAACACATTTATAAACTCAGGGACTACTTGTTTTGAGGACATGCTGGTGACTGGGGGGTGGGGCCTGGACAATACAGATGTGGGTGAGGGGAGACGAGTTAGTCACCTGGGCTCCCTGGGCAGGTATGAGGCAAATTTCAGAAAGTGTCTACAGTGAAAAAGTATATTATTTAACATGTGGTGATAAAATAATGTCGTATCACAATATCACTTAGAATGTTTTGTATTTAAGGGGTAGATAAAAGAAGCAAATCACACACCGTCAGTTAACTTCAACATCGTCACACTTACATTAGACCTGTCTCTTTGCCCCAGATAGATAATATCTTTACCTATGGGATGGCCAGAAACTTGTCACACACTCCATCTGTAAAGTGGCTACAGACCTGCCTGTTTGGTTACGTCAGACTCTATTGCATAGACACAGCGAGGGTGGCTCACTCTTTGAGAGAGAGAGAGAGAGAGAGTGTGTGTGTGTGTGTGTGTACATGTGAACAAGTACAGTGGAGTGGTTCAGCAGGCCAAGTATCCTGGCAGGTAAGCTTCTACTTCTTCCACTTTAAGCCTGGACCACACAAGAAAGGTCTAGGATCAGATCCAACATGAGGTCTCTTGGGTATGGGGTCTTCCTTTGACTGTGATCTGCAGGGTTTCTAACAGCCAAATGCCTGGGTGCTTACAATAATAGGCTCAGGTCAAGAGTCTTTGCTTCTGATTCACCTATGCCACTTTACTTAGAAAGTCTGGGCAAGTGACTAGGGTCTTTGACATTTAGTTTCCTCATCTGCAAATTAAGCAAAGTTTTCTACAGTTGTCAAAGGTCCATGAAGTTTGTAAGTCCTGTGTTTCTCTCTTACAGTTATTCTTTCTCAGGTCAACAATACCTGCCACTTCCATTACCCTTGAAGATTAACAGCAAACCTCTTTGTTACTTTATTTTATTTCATTAGAACTGTGAAGGTCATGCTTTATCTCCCTTTTAAGGATAAAAAAGTGATGTTCAAATAGATTTAATATTTTCTATAATTGTCTTAAAACTAGCAAAGATTCAAAAAAGAAAGAATTGAAACTAGAGCCACAGACTGTTTCTACAGTCTTCATTCCTCTAGAAATCCTGGTTGAGGGCCGTTAGCTTCCAGCAGAGGGGATTGTATAGTTACAAGGCTGTGTCTGTGCCCTCATCAAGCTTGCAATCTGACCTGGGAAATAGATATTAGGCCTGCAATTGCATGTACATTCTGCATTTGAGAAGTAAAGAATCCTCTGAAGCAGAAGAGGATTCCAGGCAGAGGAGCAGGGCCAGTGGAGGCTCCCAGTGCAGCGGGCAGACAGGTGCCAACAGGTGGAGGCTTGGGCTACTGGAAAGGATGGAAGAGGCCAGCTGTGCAGGGTGGATAACCAAGCCTGTCTCAGGGGTAGTCAGAGGCTACTGAAGAATTTAATCTAGAAGTGGTGTTTTGAAGATCACCGAGATCTTTTCAGAGAGTGAACTGGAATCCAGTAAGACATGTTGAGGCCTGTGGCCAGGCTGTAACCCAGGGGCAGTGGCCTGGATGAGGGCACGGCATGCTCTAGATTCCAGCCATGAAGGTGACAAGCAGTGGACAACTCTGAAGGATATTTAGGACACGGGTCAGTAGGTTTTGGTGATTAAATAGGTTTTGGACTGGAAGGGAAACAAGAATTTTACTCTAAGTGACATTCATGTTATTTATTTATTCATTTATTTTTTGAGATAGGGTCTCACTAAGTCACTAAGTTGCCCATGTAGCCTGGGATCAAAATTAATGTCCTCCTGCTTTGACCTTCCATCATGCTGGGATTACAGGCATGCAACTCCACACCTGGCTTATGTAAAAAGTATTTATTAGGCACGGCGTATGGGCCAAGGCGTAGAAAACCAGTCAAGAAAAATGTAGTTCTTAGCCTCATACAGCTTATAATCTCTTGGTTGAAATAGAGGGTAAGTCCAAATACACAATTATATAATTATCATTATCTAAATAATTTCGAGGACAGGTAAAGTGAATTGCAATTAATAATCTCTTTAAAGAGAAGTACAGTTTTAATACAGTGAGAGTATTGGAACTCTCAAGGGTAAAACAGGAAACTGTAACTGTCAGTTGTGTTGAATCCTGAGGATTGTACGGGGTATTAGGAGATAGTGCTGATTGAAACAGGGTGGGAGCAGAGTGGGATGTGAGGACCACAGTAGGCACAAATCCTGGTAGACATTTGAAAGATAGGAAAGATGTGGAAATCCTTAACTACCGATAGAGAGATTCCAGTGGAGAAATTAAAGGTGTGACAGAAAGAGATAATAATCCATCACATGAAGTCCCTGAGGAGGCAGGCCAAAAAACAAGGTGAAACCAGGAGAGGAGGGAAGATGGAAAGAGTAGAAATGGAAATTCAGGTCAGTTTGGATCGCAAGAAATTAAAGCAGCTCCTTTTCTCTCAGATGTGAGAAAAGAGGCAAGAAGGTCAGAGTCTGGAGAAGTAATGAGAGAAGTTTTTCTGGCATGGGAGAGAAGGGGAAAGTAAGATGTTGAAAGTAACACAGCTTTTAGAGCCACGTTAAATCTAATAAGTCTGGTTATCTCTCCATTTTATAACAACTGCCCTCTGTAATTGAAAACAAAATTGTTTATTAGTTATAAAGCTCTGCTGGGCACTATAAAAAGAGGAAGATGAGTAAAATCCAGACCCTCTGTACATCAGTAGAGTAGCCTGACCTATTTTCATCCCCTTTCAGCACCTGAGCGGGAAGGTCCTGAGCTGTTAGATTTAGGGTGTGTCACATACTGTCTGGGAATTATGAGGCTGAGTCACTGAATGTTCAGAGAGTCGACAGGGGAGAAACAGACAATAACAGGAGAGCTACAAGATAATGGAGCTCCATTGGGAGCTCCTGGCACACTGTGATGATGGTCTTACACTCTAGTTGAATTGTTTGTTGTCTGTTTCCCCCTTAAGACTACAGGCTCCGTAAAGACAAGGTCTTTGTGTCATTTGCCATGGGATGCCCCACACTGAAAAGGGCCATTGGATAAATCTTATTAAAGATGAACAAATACATGAGAAATTTATAGAAGCTATTGCTTATTGTATTGAGTCCCTTTTAGTGCAAGGAATGACCCTAAACAAAACCAAAGAAATGTCCCACTCATCTTCTCTGTCATTCCCCCACTAACAGGTAAAAGCAGAAGAGACATTAGAAACTTTTGTCTTGTATTCTTCCTTAGGATTTAGCCCTGATGGAGGCCGAGGAGCCTGAGCATGAAGCTTCTACTTCCACTCCTGCCATAAAAGAATTCAAAGTTATTCCTGAAGCTATCATGAGGAGCAGCCAGATTCCCACTTTGGAACCTGAAGTTCAAGACCAGGGCCCATCCTGTAAGTGGACAGAGGAACACAGGCTCCTGGAGATGCAGTCAAAAGAATTAAGGGACATGAATGACTGTGCAGCTGAAAGTATGCTCTTTTTCCCTAAAAGAGGCTCTGTGGATGTGGAGACCAGCCAGGAAGACCTTGTGGCTGGGGCTTGTGACACTCCAGAACACCAGGAGTCAGAACCCCAGACCCTGGCAGACAGTGGAGCAAGGACACTAGCACCTCCAGAGTGTGAGGTCTACCTCATTCAGGGTGAATGGCTGGACACGGTCCCCATACCCACTGAAATGGGCAGCGGAGTAGAGGTGGAATTTCCACACGACCTCACCTCCTTGATATTGGGAACGGAACAAGCAAATGAGAAGGAGGAAGTCTCTCCAGTCGCCACTGCTCAGACTGGATTTTGGCCTCCCTGCATAGTACACCCTATAGAAACCAACCAGACCAAGGCCTCTGCAAATGAAACTGTCAGCCAGGAAGAAGAGCAGCAGCTGGAAAATGCACAGGAAAGTCAAGGGCAAGAAAGACTATTACATCCCCAGGAAGCCCATGGGCTGGAGGAGCAGCAACAACAGGAAGGGGAATGTCAGAGGACAGGAACTGTGGGGGAGGGTGTTTGCTCAGATGGGCTTTTGTGGAAGCAAGAACAGATGGGAGGTCCGCCTAATGACAAAAAGGAAGAACAGAGGCCAAAACAGGAAAGGATACAGGAGGATGTGCTTGGAAGACAAGGAGAAGGAAAGGGGAGAAATGGGGAATTAACAGGTGTGAAATGTGAGTGGGTTCCAGGGAACAGGGAGCAGAAAGCTCAGGGAGAGAGGGGTCTAGAGGAGGAAGAACAGAAGCAAAGTGAGTTCAGGGGGCCAGAGGAGTGTTGGGTGAACTCTCAGTATGCAGAAACAACAGGAAGGGGAATGTCAGAGGACAGGAACTGTGGGGGAGGGTGTTTGCTCAGATGGGCTTTTGTGGAAGCAAGAACAGATGGGAGGTCCGCCTAATGACAAAAAGGAAGAACAGAGGCCAAAACAGGAAAGGATACAGGAGGATGTGCTTGGAAGACAAGGAGAAGGAAAGGGGAACAATGGGGAATTAACAGGTGTGAAATGTGAGTGGGTTCCAGGGAACAGGGAGCAGAAAGCTCAGGGAGAGAGGGGTCTAGAGGAGGAAGAACAGAAGCAAAGTGAGTTCAGGGGGCCAGAGGAGTGTTGGGTGAACTCTCAGTATGCAGCGAATCAAAGCTTAGCAGAGAAATCAGAGGAATTAACTAGAAAGCAAGTAGATCAAGGTCTAAGGGGGGAAATGAGGCCAATAGAGCTACAGGAAGAAGAGGCAGGGTCCAACAAGAAGGAGGCAGGGAATTGGGATAGGCATGGGTTTGGGATAGTAGAAGAGCAGAAAGCAGAAAAGGAGGAAGAGTACCATGGTCCTTCCACACTAACTCCAGTAGCCCCTCAAGTCCCTTATTCGTGTGACTTGTCTCCAAAAGTCTCTTGTCCTGTGACTCAGATTCCTGGGACTCTGTCAGAATCCAGGGCTGGGGAACTGTTCCCCAGAGCTCTGACTCCTTCACCGGAGCCAACTGGATGGTCCTCCCAGTCCATTTCTCCACCTGGCTCCTTTCCTACTGGGCAGTTACTTAACAACAATATAGGTCAGGATAGCCAGCCAGAAGGATCTGAGCTGAGGACAGAGACAGTGTCCAGTCAAGGGACTGAAGTGGTCTTTGCTAATACGTCTACCACACCTCCAAGAATGCCAGATTCAGCTACTTCCAGTCCTGCTGAAGACTCCTCTATCACAACTACCATAACACCTGCTAGCCCACCAGTTGTCTTTGCAAGGAGAGAGAGCCCAAGACCTTCTCTCTCAACTGATAACCTACCTGCCTATGGAGCACTTGACACTTACCCATCTGCTGTCCACAGATACCCCCCTGTGGAGGTCAACAAGGACCAAAGTGCCGGTTCCAACAGGGCCGGCCCTCTCACTGCCCTGGCCAACTGTACTGGCGCCATCCAGCACATTAGGAGCAACTCCTTCCCAGGTTCTCAAAGGACACAGCAGACCCCGGACCTGGTGGGAATGTCACTTTTTTTCTCTCATTCAGAGTTACCCCAGAGGCCCCCCAAACCTGCCATCTATGGTTCTGTGATGCCACGAAGGGACAGGAGAAGTGGTAGAGACTGCAGCACTATTTCACAATCTCCTCCTGCATTATCCGCTCCAAGGCAGGGCTCTCAAGAATTCATTTCAAGTCCACAGAGGACCAGCAGTCACGAAGGCAGCCAACCATGGGACTCCCCCAAGGACTCAGCCTTTGCCACAGGATCTCCTTCCTGTGGTTCTTCACCATCCACTGTGTCCACGGACTTGAGGATCTGTGAGCCTCTGATACCTCCTCTCCCAGAGAAGAGGCACAGCCGCCTTTCCTTCGTGGAGACAGACGAGCATCCTCCTCCAGTGGTCCCCGCACTGAAGCAATGGAGCCATCCTCCTCCACCGGCCCTAAGTGAAGAGCTACATGGTCCCCCTAAAGGACCCCTTCCTCATTTTCCTGACACCTCTGTGGCAAGACAGCACCGACCTCTGCCATCTACTCCAGACAGCTCTCGTCATACTCATTCCTCCTCCTCCAGGCTCAGATACAACAAACCATTGCCCCCAACTCCTGATTTGTCCCAACCCCACCAGACTCCCCTTTCTTCTTCCAGTATCTCAAGGACCTACAGGCCTCTACCCCCTGTCCCTATCACAGATCCTTCCACTGAACCACCCCCTTTACCCCCAAAGGCCAGGGGCAGGAGCAGGAGCTCTCAGGGAGAGCTTATGAACTCAGGGGGCCTAGCCAGACAGCCTGCTAATCAAGCCTGGACAGTTTCCACTCCCCCCTCTGCTGGACGTACCTCCTGGCCCCCAGCTACGGGCCGACCAACAGAGTCTTTGGCTTCCACCAGTAGGAGTAAGAGCGAAGTGTCCCCTGGTATGGCTTTCAGCAACATAACAAACCTTCTATGTCCCTCTTCGCCTATAACCCCCTGGACACCAGAGTTCCAGGAACCCAACACTAATAATGAAGCAAGGCTCTCAGAAGAGTCTGAGACCTCTGCAGGAGGACCATTGAAAAGATCAGCCCCTCAGCAAGGAGGCAATGGCCCAAGGAGGTCCACTCTGGGCCCAGCAAGGCAGCTAGAAAAGCCCAGCCATCCCCAGCTGGAGAAAGCATCCAGTTGGCCCCACAGGCGGGACCCAGGGAGACCCTTAGAGTCCAACAGTGGGCCTGTTGTGCTTCCCAGTGAGGGGCCCAGCAAGCACAAGAGTTGGAATCGACAAGGCGTGCGCAGACCTTCCATCTTACCTGAGGGCTCTTCTGGTAAGCAAGGGTGGTGAGGACTGCAGTCACCCCAGCGTTGCCAAACCTTTTCCAGTTCTTCACACCTTGCCTGCCCTCTGTACGCAGTGTCCTAACCATTCCTTCTGCAGTTTCACTTATGGGCGTACTCTTCCCTTCTCCCCCGTACCTCTCGATGTCCCAGGAAACCAGGGCCTTCTTTGGATGACAACTTTGCCCCAGTGTTGCCTTAGCTCCCTCTTAGTGTTCAGTTCCCACACCGGCTTGCTGTCCTCCCTGGATTCAAGAAGGCTTTTGCTACTTTCCTACTTCCCATTCTAATAAGGCAGCTAGGGACATAGCTTGTACTTATCTACCCAAGAATGCTTGCTGCTTTGGCATTTTCTTTCCTGGATTCCCAGGAGAGTTTTTTTTTCTCTATCTGGATACCTGCATCTTCAATCCTATGTCTTATCTTCTTCACTTTCTGTAAATATCCCTCTGAAATCTCAGTTATGTCATCCATTGCCATTTTCAGATTCAAGAGGTCCAACCATGGGAAGATCCTTCGGCCCCTCAGACATAGTGGTTTTTCGGTAAGTTAACCTCCTACAAACAGACATACCCATACCTTCTTTACTTTAAGGTCTCCTAATTAGCATTTTAGCTATAAGGGTTTGGGAACCTGGAGTGTCACGTGACTTTCTCTTCTGGAAGTAGGAGCAGAAGAGATCCACACCAGAATTCCAGGGTAGGAAGATTTTTCCTATACCTCTCCACTTCTGTTGGCTGAGTCTGAGTCAGTTATCCTTCCAAGCTCTTTGGCCCTGAACAACTCCCCATGGAAAAGTCCCATGTAAATCCTCCAAAGCTCCAAACTACCCCACAGTGGGTCAGGCTGCAACCCTGTGGCTCTCCAGGGGATTTGGTCCTGACATCAAGCACAAAGCACAAGAGATTAGAGATTTCCTCATCTACAGCCTCCTGGGAGTCCTCTGTGTCATGGCCAGCAAGACGCAAGGGCCTTCCTCTCTCCACAGGGAGAAGAAGCCAAAGGAGGGGACAGGAGGCTTTTCAAGACGCTGCTCCAAGCTCATCAACTCCTGTGAGTACCTTGGATCAGATCCATAACCCCAGGAGTGTGTTCTGCTCTTATGGCTGTCAAGAGGGTGGTGATGTCCACTGGAGAGAGGACTTTCAGGAGGTCAACAGCAGTGGACAGCTTCTGCCTGACTCTAAGTCTCCACTCACCTTCCCTTTCCCTGGAATTCCCTCCCTCTCGCACATCCTTGCCCCTGTAGCGCAGCTGCTTTACCAGGAGTACAGTGATGTTGTTCTCAACAAGGAGATTCAGAGTCAGCAGCGTCTGGACAACGTGGCAGAGGCACCCGGGCTGGCCTCCCCCAGGCAGCCTCGGAAGGCCCTGGTATCCTCCGAGTCCTACCTGCAGCGCCTCTCCATGGCCTCCAGTGGCTCCCTCTGGCAGGAAATCCCTGTGGTGCGAAATAGCACTGTGCTGCTCTCCATGACCCATGAAGACCAAAAGCTGCAGGAGGTACGAAGTAGGGGAGGGTGCAGAGCAAAGGTCGCAAAGGTATATTGGCTACCTTTCTCTCTCCTTCTCACCATCAAAGGCAGGCTGTGCCCACCCCACACTTGTCACATAAGCATATATACGCCCTTGGCACATCATCCCATTCTGAAGACTGCCTTGTGATGTTCTACACATTACCACTATCCCTCTACCCTGTATCCTAATGCCATGGGCTATCTACTCTGACATGGTTCTTGTTTGGGTTCATGCAGAGCCCAGATTTGGCTCTAAATTTCTTGGGAGGAGGATGAAATGAAGTTCATCTGTGCTGCTTCAGGGTAGACTAAAATTTCGCTCTTCCCCTAGAGTTTCAGACTATGCTAATGCTTTACTTTTCAACCAAGACATATTCAAGGGCTTTTTGTTAAGTTCCTTGAAAAGGGCACCTGGAAGCTTCCCTGCAATACATTCATCTCACAGAGGAGTTAGAATGTCCCTGCTCTGTCATCACCCCCAAATAGTATGACTGTGGTAGAGACTGTCTGTCTGGTTTTAAGGTATTACCATTAATAAGATTTCCATGGAGATCTTCTGTTACTCTCAAATCTGTCTGAAATTTGGGGTGGGACCTTTCTTCCCAGGAAGACAATAATGCCCAGTGGATTAGATTAATGATTAAGTACAGTAATTAGGTTCTGGAGTAAATGACCTAAATGAGAAGCCCATTTTAGTGTTTGCTGGTTAGCTTTCACCAAATTGCTTAATCTTTCAAAGTTGGTGTTTCTTTGTCAAACTGAGATACAAAGACTTACTGGGGGAATTAAAGAAGTGCCTGGTACACAGTAATCACTCAAGAAGTGTTAACTATTTTTCCTTTAAGTGATGCAAACCTGCTTTGGAACCAAGCCTTCACCATTTAATGGCTGTTTAACCTTAGGCGAGTTATATAACTTTACTAAATAAATCTGTTTCCTTACCAACAAGTTAAATATAAAAATATCTACCTTTCAGAGTTAATGTGTACTTTTAATGAAATCACACATATTTAGCTCAACAGAGTGTCTGGTGCATAATTTGGTATTAACTTCATATTCTTCCCCTTTCAGAATCAGGGTGGAGTAAAATTTCAGCCATGACTTGAGGATAAACAGTGCTTTTACCAATTCAGAGACACACATACATTTCTAGGCTTTTCAAGGCTCAGACTTGAGGGCTTTGTTCTGACTACGACTTTCAGAACACCTGGAAGATGTTTAGAAAAATCATTCATCTCTCATATTTATGGATCAACACAATGGGGAGGTTACGTGAACTGCAGCTCCTCTCTCCCCTGGTCCATCCTAGAAGGTCCTGTTTCAGTTCTAGTCTCACACTGATAGAGAATCCTCTGCATCCTTTCATCTTATACACACATTTTCATTTCATAAAATAGCACCTCTGGGGTCTACAAAGAACTTTCTACTTCTTTTGAATGAAAGACGGGCAAACAGGATTAGAGAGGCTAAACGAATGACCAGAAGTCACGTAGTTGAGAAAAACCTGGAGTGTCCTGTGCAGGGGTGGGTCTGGAAAGGTCATCAGGCTGTCACTGGCCATCCAGGTGATCATCACAGTCTATTATCTCTCTCTGTTTTCTATCTAAAGGGGTATTTTGGAGCCACATGCTTGGATGAAAAGCATGAGGAACCCTTTAATCATGGCTATATGTCATTGCGCCCCCTGCTGGAACCTCTGAAGAAGAATTCAAGTGCTGTTTTCTTACATCACAACTATACCAACTTGTCTCAACTTCTTTCCGTTTCTCCTCAAACCACACACTGAACTCAGTGCCTTTGTCCCCTAAACTTGTTTCTCTTTTGAAGCACTCTGGCTAAGTTAATAACTCCAGCTTTCACCCATTTACTCAAATCAAAATCAAGGTATTAGCTTTGACTCTTTCTCCTCTTTCAGACCTTGTTCAGAGCAAATAACCCAGCCCTTCGAATCTACCTCTTAATAATAATTTCTTCATCCACATAACTGCTCAGGCCTTCATCTCTCATCTGAAATTGTCACAGTATTTCCTAACATGGTTCTCTTGCCACAAAATCTTTATGCCATGTTGTGCTCAGAGATACCTTTATTAAAAAAAGAAATCTAATCAAAGTCTTTTTTTTTTTTGTACCGGGGATTGAACTTGGGTCCTTGCACTTGCAAGGCAGGCCACCGAACTGCTGAGCTAAATCCCTGGCCCTCTCATAGTCTTGAGACCAAACCATCTTGGGACCAAACCATTATACATACATTGTTTATGTAACCTGCCAGACCCTATTGCTCATTTGCATTTGCCTTTCCAGCCTTAATTGTTTGCTACTACTTTTGTATACTTGCTTCCAAAAATGCTCAATTTATTTAGGTCTCTTTGTATTTGCTTTGGTGGTTATTTTGTTTGTTTTTGAGGTGTTGGAGGTACGGTACGTGATACTTATTAGGCAAGAGTGCTCTACCAATGAGCTATGTCCCCTATCCTTGGGGTTTCTGTCTTTTAAATAAAATTTTCTGTGTATATTTAAGGTGCACACAGTGGTGTTATAGGCTATAGATAGATAGTAAAATGGTTACTATAATGAATCAAATTAATATATAGTTGTCAATTTGTGGGATGTGTATGTGTGATTTAAATTTCTTGAAAGCACATTTTTGTTTTACATTGTTGGGAGCCTACAAGTATTCTTCAACCCTTAAATTATATCTTATGTATGTAAATACTCTTACCTTCTCCCAGATGAAAATAGATTTTATTGTGATGGTGAGCTATGAAAAGATCTTCCTTGTTCAACACTATGCCCCTAAAATAGCAGGGAGTCCGTAATCTTCCTCCTCTCCAACTTCCTAGGCCAAATTTGAGCTAATCGTGTCCGAGGCTTCATACCTGCGCAGTCTACATATAGCTGTGGATCATTTCCAACTTTCAGCCCAGCTCCGGGCCACCCTCTCCAACCAGGAGTACCAGTGGCTCTTCTCTCGTTTACAGGATGTACGAGACATCAGTACCATGTAAGACCACCTTTCTAGCCTCACTGCCCCTCTCAGCCTCACTATTGTTAGCCACCAGACCTTCTTCAGTTGGTTTCTTTCCTTAGAAACTTCCCCTTTGCCATAATCTCAGGATGAAATTGGGTCTCCACTACTTCCCAATAGCGAAAGGGGTAGGAAAAGCAAAGAGGAGAGATTTGAGGGTAGATCGATCCATTAATAGGTAAATAAGTTAATTGGAAATGCTTCCTGACTTAAGGTTTTAGATGTGCTATAGGAATGCACTGAGTTGGAGATGAAGTATATAAATCACATAAATATTGAAAAACCAGAATAGGATAAAAGAAGATCAAGAAATAGAATATTAGGGCTGGGATTTAGATCAGTGTTACCATACCTGCCTTGCAAGCACAAGGTCCCGAGTTTGATCCCCAGTACCAAAAAGAAAGAAATAGAATATTAGAACATTAAATGAGCAAACTAATGACAACCTAGAAGAGAATTCTAGTGCATAGCAAGGTACACAGAGCTCAGGAGAATCAATAGAAGTTACTGGCTAATGGAAGGAAGTCACGAAGTCGAGGAAAAGCAGAGTTAGCTAGCCACTGAGTTAGGGCCCTGAAGTCTCATGAGACTTTTTAAAAATATTACACAGGTTCCTTTCAGATCTAGAAGAGAACTTCGAGAACAACATCTTCTCTTTCCAAGTGTGTGATGTAGTCCTGAACCATGCTGCAGACTTCCGCCGGGTCTACCTGCCCTATGTCACCAACCAGACCTATCAGGAGCGTACCTTCCAGAGCCTGCTGTGAGACTCATTCCCATTCAGTCCCCAGCTAGAGCACTGTCCCAGGGGTACACGTTCTTGCGCCTTGCTGTGTGCTCTCAAGTACCAGCCTGCCCTTCCAATAAGAGCCCCTCAGCAAACACAGCTGGGATGCTTGTACATTGGTTGTCAATGTTTTTTCCCCCCAACATCAGACATTCCCCATTCCTTTCTGAGTCCCTATTACTCCCTATGTCCTTCCTCACCCCTGGGTCACTGCCCATGCAGGAGCAGCAACAGCAGTTTCCGAGAGGTCTTGGGGAAGCTGGAGAGCAACCCCATCTGCCAACGCCTTTCCCTCAAGTCCTTTCTGATTCTGCCTTTCCAGCGTATCACCCGCCTCAAGCTGCTGCTCCAGGTACAGGAGATACTTCCTTCCTTGTCTCCTTTTACTCAAAGGGATGATCTTTGGAAGATTCAGGCCAGAGTGTTGTCCATTCTTCTCTCTGTGAAGGATGTGAACAGTCCCCCCATTGCCGACACCTTTCTTTCTCAGAAATATTTGTTACTGAGATTATTGCCCTGGGTTTCTCCATTAACTAACTCCTAATCTTCTCTTTTCCCCATTTATCTATTCTTCTCTCCTATCTTCTCCTGCCTACTGTTTATTCTGTAGAACATCCTGAAGAGGACACAGCCTGGCTCCTCAGAGGAAGCAGAGGCCACGAAGGCCCACCACGTGCTGGAGGAGGTAGGCAGCTACCATCTGACCCTCTGTCTTCTTAGGCCCACAACTCCTAGGAACAAGGGAGAGCTCAGCCCCTCCCTGTATCCACCAAACCTCCAACCAGATGCAATCTACAGCCTCTTATTCCAGGCAAAGCAACCTCCACACCAAGGAGCTATGCTCCCACTACCACAGTCCCTCGCCCCAGAAATGTTCGGCCAGATCATCCAAAGGATATCAGAGTCCTAGGGCTCTATCTGGATGCTGCCTTCACTATGGTAGAAAAGAAGGAGGCTGTCACGGCCCACTTCCAGAGGGCCTTCTGCAGAGGCTTTAATGGCCAGATACTTAACCTTCCTTCACCCTGCCCACCCCTCAGCTGATCCGAGACTGCAATGACAATGTCCAGAGGATGCGGCGGACAGAGGAACTGATCTACCTGAGCCAGAAGATTGAGTTTGAGTGCAAAGTATGTGAGTTCCTCACTCTACGCTTTGCCGTGGGCCTCTTTATTTAGTGTGCCTGCACCACCTTCTAGCATAGAGCCACCTTGCTCCAGCTGTCCCCAGCCTCCACCCTTCCTCCCTTTCCTCTATTGCTATTTCTGGGCTATGCAAATTTAAATGCTTCCTTCAGTTTTCAAGACATACTGTTGAGTGAAGGAGGAGAACTGTGTGTATGTTATATTACCTTTAGTGTAAAAGAATATTCATTCTTGTGTGTGCACAAGAAAACTCTGGAAGGATACTAAGGAAACTTTAAAAAAGAAATAGCAGTAGCCAGGCATGGTGGCGCACGCCTGTAATCCCAGCACTCGGGAGGCTGAGGCAGGAGGATCCCTGTGAGTTCGAGACCAGCCTGGGCTACATAGTGAGTTCCAGTGAGTTCCAGGTCAGTCTCAACTACATAGTGAGACCCTGTCTCAAAAAAAAAAGAAAGAAATAGCAGTTGCCTGAGAAGAACGAGAGGCACTTGGGAAATGGACAAATGGGAGTGAATTCTGCAGTATAAGCCTTTCTGAGAAACTTTGTATAATTCATTAGGTCTCCTTGTGGTCTAACCAAAACAACATGGTCAAAATCTCCAAAATTTCTCATCTCAATACAAATGTCATATTCAAATGCTGACTCAGAACATTCCTCAAACAGAAGAAAAATCCCATACCTGTAATAGTAGTCATAGTCCAGTACCCTCATCTTTGCCCAAATTCAAGCTCCAAGCAAACGCCACTTAGTTCTTATTTTCACACACACACACACACACACATACACACACACACACACACACACACACACACACACACACACACACACACACACAC